ACCCTGGATCTGGGGCGCTGGTGAAGGGGCACAGGCAGCCTGGAGAAATCCCCAGTGCTGGCTGCACAGAGGCACAGGATGGCTCCCTCACCCCAGCCTGGCACCGCACCTCACAGGTTCCCCTCTCGTGCCCTGGGGTCATTCCCGCTCTGGGACAGTTCCTTCTTCCAAGGGCACCCTAAGTAGAATTCCTCTCCCCCCACTGTACAGGAACGAGACCAATGGCCTGGGGACACTGGCAGCACCTGGAGGTGTCATTACTACATGCAGTGGCAGAGGCAAGGACACGGCCCCACGGCAGAATGGGCTGGCCGTGCACGTCCACAGCCAGGCCAGAAACCTCGCTCAGATGTTCTCGCTTCTCTTGGGAAGCCCGATGCCCAGCCGAGGGTGCACCATGTGGCTTCCGCTGGCTTCCAGCCACTGCCTGGTGGATCACATGGTCACGCTCCTAAGAATCACCCAGGGACCGCGTTAAACATGGACCAAGAAGGCCTCCCTTTGGAGGTCCTCATGCAAGAGCTCTGAGGGCTCAGAGATCTGCATGGAAGAGAACAGGCCCTAGGAATATGGCTATAAGGGCGGGGCCCAGCCAGTTCGTTCCTCTGTGGCTTTAAGGCAAGTACTTCCTGTAGTAGCAATAAATGCAACAGCCCTAATTCTACGAGGCAGCCTAGGCTGAACTGGTACCGGAAACCACAGCTACGTTTCAACAGCATCCAGAAGAACCAACTTGTTGACAACACAATTTGGGACTTTGTGGGTACAAGCCCTAGGCTGGCAGCAATGCTCAGATAAAGAAAGAAAGAGAGAATATTTACAAGCTGTTGTCATGACATCAGAGTGTAATCTAGCTGGGCTCAGTGGAACCTGCCTGTCATCTCAGCCACTCAGAGGCCGAGGCAGGAGGGTCAGGAGTCAAGGCCTGCTGCAGGAACCACCTAGCAAGACCATGCGCTCAAGATGAAATAAAATAAAAAGGGTTCTAAATACAGCTCAGCACTCCCTGGGTTTGGTCTGCAGCACACACAGGCATGCGCGCGCGTGCACACACACACACACACCCAATTTCTTACTTCTACATCTCCTTACAGAGGAACTGAGTTCTTGGCTAAGCATGGTGCTGCACAGCTGTGATTCCAGCACTCTGGGAGCCTGAGACAGGAGGACCAACACAAGAAAACGGAGCCCAGCACAAGCAACTTAGCAAGACCCTGCTTTAAGACGGGTGGGCATGTTCCAGACTAGGGACGCTTGGCCTGCAGCTGAAATCTATTTGCACAGTTTCCTGCAGAGACACAGACTGGTGACCCAAGACCATGACTGCAGCGCTGCGTGACTGCGGCGCCGGTCATGTGCCACTGTTAGACTGCTGCACACAATGGTAGTGTGTGCTGAAAACAATAGACTATTTGCGAATTTCCAGCAATTACTTACTGAGAAAAATAACGCCTTGTCCACAATGTCACTGGTAATCTTCTAATTAACCATCCAGAAGGAAATATTTCTTAGAGGTAGAAATATTTCACAGCCTAAATAGGCATGTGCACATAATTATGACGTGAGTGCGCCAACTACTTAAACTATAACACAAAATTTTGCTTTTCAATACTTCCGCTCATTTCTATTTCTTACAACTATCCTGACAACAGACTCTGCCCACATGTGGTTATTTATTTATATTTATCATCTATCCGTCCATCCGTCCAGTTCTGCAGTGCTGGAGATCAAACCCAGGGCCCAGCACAGGCAGAGAGTGCTCTTCCCATGAGATACACCCCAGCCCCTGATCTTTGTTTTGGTCTCTTTTTCACAGTATGAGTGCTCCATGTCACCAGGTGAGTGCTCTGTCACTCCCATGTCTGGTTTATAAGTGAGGTGACAGGCTCAGAGAGGGTCAGAGACCTGCCCCGAGTCACACAGCTACCAGAGCAAACACAACAGATTTGCAGTGGAGACCTGCTGGGCTGCTTTTTGTCACCCTTTAATTCCCATGCTTAGAAATGTGTGCACAATAAACACTTCCTGTGGAGGGAAGGAAGCACGGGATGGGGAAGCTGGGAACCAAGGTGGCGTGGAGCAACGGGCTGGGCAAATACCTGCAGCAGGGCCAGGGCCCAGGTGCAGCGGATGCGACAGCAGCGGAGAGAAGAGCGAGAGACAAAGACACCGGCCTGGTATAGCATCTGGTACCTGGGTGCAGGGACACAGGGGGCTCCTCTGGGGTCTGAGGGCAGGGCAGGCCTATCGCCCCCCACCAGCCATGCCCGCCTCGGCCTCTCACCAGCGGTACTGCTGAGCATGACTCAGGGATGTGTTCCGGAAGAACAGGAGCTCAAACTGCAATGGAGACCAGGCGGGAAGGGCAGAGGCTGGCGTGCAGGCCCCAGCCCGTGCTTGATCCCACCCTCCCGGCACGCTCACTCACGAGCCCCTGGTTGATGAAGTACTCAGCGAAGTAGACCAGCACCAAGGGGACGATGTAGCACAGCAGGCCCTGGAAGGGTCAGAGGTGAGTGGAAGGCCAGGGGCAGGCGCCGACCACAGGCACACACTGCAGCTGCGTCCACACCTTGAACACTATCCACCTTTCCTGGAGGGAGAGGTTCCAGCTGGCACCTGCGGGGAACAGGGAAAGGGGAGAGGAAGCAGGAGAAACAGGAACACTGAAGACTGGTCCTGGCTGTCCATGAGCAGCACCCTGCTGGTCTGCACACTTAAAGAGGGTTGAAATGGTAAACTTCATGTTATGTAGACTTGTTATCATGTTTTTTTGTTTTTTTGAGACAGGGTCTCACTGTGTATTTCAGGCTGGTCTTGAACTCAGTCTGTGGCTGAAGCTGGCCTCAAACTCAGAGATTCTTCTGCTTCAGCCTCCTGAGTGCTGGGATTGTAAGTGTGCACCACCATGCCCGGCTCTTCATAGCTCTCACACAGCTCAACAGATGGGCATTGCACCCTCACCCCAGACACAGTGGTTCTTCTATCTCTAGAATATCTAAGCTCATTTCTACCACAGGGCCTTAGCTTGTGTTGTTCCCTATCTAGAACCTCTTCAGCAGAAGTACCCAAGGCTGAATGCTTGACAGTCAATTTTCAGCCAGAACGTCATGTCCTCCAAAAGGTCTTCTCTGCAGGAAGTAAACTCCTAAGCCCTCCCTACTCCCCTCAACTGTCCTATTTCATATCCTTCCAGAGCTTACCAATGAGTGAAAATGCTTTGTTTCTGGCTCATGGCCTGGCTTATGAACTATCTCGAACATCTGGCACAGCCAGGCCTCAGAGCAGCTCTTGACTAGACAAATGTTTTGGCTGTAACCAGGATCCCGCCCCTTCCCTGGAACAGACCAAAACCCAGAGGAAGGACTCCCTCAGAGGGCCTGCGTCTCCTACCTGGCTTCAGCTCTGGAGCCTCTGTGCTGATGAGGGGCTGCCGGGCTGAGGTCTCTGCCTCATCTTCCCCACCGGGGTCCTGGGGCTCGGGAGATGTGAGCAACAAGAAATAGCTGGGAATGAGCAGAATGAAGACGGGCGGAGGGAGCACCTGCGGGCCAGGGTACCCTCACATTCATAGGCTCCCCGGGGGCAGCATGGGGTCCTGTGCCACACAGGCCCAGCCGTGGACGCCGACTTCTCTGCAGTCGCGGTCTGCCTCCCTGTCACTCTGCCTGGGTTCCCTGTTTGATTGCTGGCGCGAACAGGCAGCCAGCTGTCTTCTCTTCATGATTATTCTCATGACTGCTCTAGTCTCCACTCACTACGTGTTCGCTTCGCTCCAGCCCAGGATGTCCCAAATTCTAGTCACTTCTCTTCTGGTTGCATCCACACTCATCCTGTGTGTATTTCACTTAATATCCTCTTTGCATTGATTCCCTTTTTCTACTTGGCACTGTCTTACACCTAAACCACAATCTGTGGAGTCGCAGGTTAAGCAGGCTAAAGTCATTTCCTAATACACACGGAAATACACACAGAATGGATGCAGAGCCCCATCCTCGCTTTACTTCAAGTCACCTCACAGGAAAGCAAGGACAACCACTGCCATTTGAAACTGGGGGTCAGAGAGGCCCAAGGCCACTACAACTAACAGGTAGTGGCCGTGGGACTGGAATCTGGGGCTGTTAATCTAGAATCCGTATCCCCCACAACAAGGCTGGAGGGAGCTGCAGACTGGGATCACGACGGAGTCCTCCCTGCTCCCATCTCCCTCCATCCCACAAGGACTTACCTGGCCAGCAGTAGGCTGGGGATCCCCAGCATGGACAGCAGCGTATGCTGAGGGGAGAGGCCAGCCTGGGTGAGGCCCAGGTAGGATAACGCTCCCAGCAACCCTGCTCCCCCAGTGCCTGAGGACCACCAGGAGATCACAGCCCTAAGAAGGAAAAAGCAGGAGTGCTCAGGAGGAGCAGCGTCAGCAGGAGGGCCTCTCAGCCCTCACCTGCCCTGGGGCTCACCTGGGGTAGGAGGCGGTGAGTGAGAGGAAGGTGACCTCCCCCAGACCTGATGAAATGCTGGCCAGGACCACACCTGGAGGAAGACAGGGATGGAGAAGAGAGCGTGGCCTCTGCCCAACAGTCCCAGTTCCAAGGCCTACGATCTGGCCTCATCTGCACTGGCTCAGAGGGGCTGAAAGCAGATTCCTGGGGAAGGCTGGGTTCACATCAAAGAAGCAAACCCCTCTTCTGCATGACCTGTCGCACAGAATGACACCTCCATCCACCCATCATCCAGCCAAGGGCAAGGCCTCATCCTGACACCCCGCCAGCCCCATCCCATGCATAGAACCTGTTCATCCCCCACTGACCCTGACGAATCACCCTGACTCCCATCTCCTGTGCGCAGCAGCCTTAATAGGCTTCTGAGGCTGCAGAAACAGTTCCTTTGCTCTGGGAAGCTCTACCAAACTTCCTCTGGCCAACACCCGACACAGAGCATACGCACCACACAGGCTGGTCCCCACTGAGCGTGAAAAGGCAACCAGGAGGAAGCTTCCCGCAGAACACACTGCGCTGATGGTAACCCGAGGGCTGCGGGTGAGAGAAGGGCATGCAGGCTGGCCTCAGGTCACTCCCCAGCCTCCGGCCACCTCCCAGCTCATCCTCACAATGACACAAACCTATAGGGCAGTAGATGAAGGCCCAGAGGAGCCAGCAACTTGATGACGAGGGTGGGGAGGATGTCTGCCAGCAGCACCGCCTGAGATAGAGAGCAAAGTGAGACCCAGCCCCACCTAGGGACAATGCTCCTGACCAAGCAGGGAGCAGCAGTCACTCACTGAGGCAGCAACAAACATGGGCTCTGGCCCTTCACTGCATGGCATGGCATAAACACCGAGCTTTGGCTTCCTTGTTGGGAAAACAGGGACCTCACAGTGCTTTAGCTCATAGGAGCGGTGTGGGTGATGTGGGTTAATAGATGCCATTCACAGAAAGGGCCCAGTGCTTGGCAATAACCTCAATAACTATAGCCACGACAGTCCTATCTGGGTGCCAAGGGACTGGGGACGAGGGGTCTCGGCCCTCTGGCCAGGCAGAACTCACAGCTGTGGAGACAGAGTTGCAGTCAAATCGAGATGAGCTGTTGCCAGGGACAGGCGTTGGACCTGGGTCCACCTGATGGGGGAAAAGAATGTCATCCACCCAGGGAGGCAAGATGAGGCCCAGTCTCAGCTCTGTTTTAACTTAAAGATAGCATAGGGTCGGCTCTACCTACATCATGGTCCTATCAATGCTCCCACACTCTTTCTTTGTGGTCTTGGGATTGACCCAGTGTTTCACATAGGCTAGGCAGGTGCTCTATCACTGAGCCACATCCCTAGCCTCCCAGCCCCTCTGAATTTGTCTACCCCGCTCCCAAAGCTCTTTTGAAGGCTGGGAGACTAGGAACTTTAGCCCCCTGCCCCACCGACTGGCCACCACTTTCCATGAGTTTTCCAGAGTCCTCTGCCCCAGCGTGAGAGTCCGTCCCTCAAGAATTAACTTGGTGGTGGAGAGGGGCTGACTTACATGGCTCTGATTCCCAGATGCCCTCTCTTGTCTAAGGATGTCATGGGCAGCACTGAGCATCACCACATAAGAGAAGTTGTTGCAAAGGCCCAGGATCCTGGAACAAGTGAGAGAGTCCCACTACATGTCAGGCCTACAGCCTATCCAGTCCTTGCAGTTCTCTCACTGATCTGTGTTCTTCAATCAGCTCCCCCTTTTCTTTCCCTACCATCAGAGTTCATCTTCCTTCAGGGTCGAGGTTAGAAATAAAGGCTTTGGGATCACACACTTGGGTTCCCCTCTGAGCTGAGGCCAACCCAGGAAGCCATCTTTGGAGCTCCCACGACAACTCTGTTCTGGGTATTTTTCATCCACAAACACTCTGTGCTACAATAAAAATATAACAAGGCCCGAAACCCAAAGATTCAAGTTCGAAGCCTGCTGCTTCCTACTCCAATGGCCTCAGCCTACTTGTGTAAAAAATTAGGACATAATTTCTCTCCTGACTACCTTGCAAAGTACTGTAGGGATCAAAATAATACCAAAGCCCTTATAATACAGAAAGGATCTTCTTCACTTACTTTCATCTCTTAAGAGCTCTGGTGAGTGACAGTAAAGACAGTGGGCCCTAGCCGGGTACGGTGGAGCATGCCTGTACTCCCAGCATTCTGAAGGCTGAGGCAGGAGGATTGCTGAGTTCGAGGCCAGCCTGGGCTTCATGGTGAGTTCAAGGCCAGACTGAACTACATAGTAAGACCCTGTCTCACAAAATTTAAAAAGCAAAAAAGAAAGTAAGAAACTGAGTCTAGTGTCAAATGGTTTCACAAGTGTCTTTACAAGCATGTGATGGGCTCTTCCTATTTTACTGCTGAGGAAAACGAGGCACTCAGTGAAGTTAAATCACTCTTCCAAAGAGTCACACGGAAAGCCATTTTCAAACCAAGTCTTCCACGTTTAGGCGAATGCCAGCAGACTTCCCAAAACTCAGTGTTTCAGTGGTCTTAGGAAATAAGATGATTTCTTTTTCTGGTGCAGGGGGCTAAATCCAGGGCCTTCACATTGAGCTACATCTCCAGCTCTTTTTTGTACTTTTATCTTGAGACAGGTCTCACTATGTCACCAGCTTGCCAAGGCCAGGCTGGAACCTGGTGATCCCCTCCTGCTGGGGTCTCCAGAGTGTTGAAGTTACAGGCATGCACTGCCACCTCTAATTTAGATATCGTTTTAAAAGTTTTAACACTGATGGAGGTACTTGAGCGTACATTAGAAAAACACTGGTTTTCCATTTGAAGTTGTGCTTTAGTTTCTTTTTAAAGTATGCATATTACAAAATGTTAAGGCTGAGCTGGCTGGAGAAAACTTTAGGCAAATAAGCCTCCAGGTAGAATAAGGATCTGGCCCCCATAGGTGAAGGTGGTTAGGTAAATAAGTGAAATCTGGCAAATTCGCAGCCACCTTCAGAGCAAACCACTGGCCTCAGTAAATATTTGTGGATTCAGTTCCTTCTCACAGTGCAGGTCCCCACCCCACCCCCGCCACCTGTCACGTGTTTACATCTGCTAGCCTCTGAGGCCACTCACCAGAAGCCCACCACGTTCTTCCACTGGGCACCCCGATGCTCCAACAGAGCGGCTCGGGCCTCTGGGACGACCTCCTCCCCTGGGAGGAAGAGAGGAGAGTGTGACCTCCACCCGCGGGCAGGAGCGGGTGTCTTCCCGGGCAGAGGTGGTCACTCCCCGGAGGGCAGACCGGAATACTCACCCTCAGAATCCGAAAGGTGTGGCCGCGAGCCCGCACAGCATCCCATAGCATCCAGTTCAGGTCCCTCAAGGAGTCCAGAACCAGTGAATGTTCAAAATTGGCTCCGACGGGGCGGACCAGAGTCTACGGCAGGTGGGAAGGGTCAACGTCTCATGGCCGGTCTGCCAGCAGTCTGCCGCACTCGCGCCGGGCGATCCATCAGTGGAGCCCGGAACTCCGGTTAGCACCCTCCAGCCCTACAACGCCCCACCGGGCGGAATCTGCTCCCGCCCCCTTTAAAACCGAGGGCCCTTAGGATCTGTACCTTTAAGGGCAGCTGAGCATTCCGAGCCAGGTAGCAGCAAGTCTTCCGTCATGTGACGGACACACGCTGATCCCCCATCACGTGACTGGAGATCCTCCTCCCCCCCCCACACACTTCCGTGTGCTCTTTTTGCTTTGGACTTTCTCAGTTTTGGGGCACTAGAAAGGGAGAGGCCAAGCCAACTACTGATTTTACACTCGAGCGAGAGGAGCAGTAAAGTAGAGCTTTGATTTGCAACTCCCGAGGCTGTGACTGTATCCTGCGAACACTAGTCACGGCGTATTGCGGCTTCAGCTCCTCTCCCACTATCTTCTCTTGCCAGAAACAAATATGGCCGCCTGCCCACAGACTGACTGGACTGGTTCCGGCTGAGAACAAAGATGACTATCATCACGTCATTCATAATCTTATCTACTGCCCTAACAAGTTGTTTTTAAAAATCTAAAATAAAGACAACACCCCCCCGCCGGAGTTTTCAACAATCACCTATTGGTAGTAACTAAGTACCCCCTTTCCCAAATTATCCTGGAGCTAAACCAAAACCAACCAACCAATCAAAACACAAAAGTAACCCAAACTCTGGTTTTACAGATGAAAAACTATTGAAATCCAACAAAATTTGTCCTAGAGGTTACCTTAGAGACTAATTTAGCAATAAGAAACAGTATTAGAGGTAGGGAGTCGTGGAGTAGGCTGCTGCATCAAGGGTGCTTAGATCAGACAATTCTGGCCTGAGATTCTGTGCTCTTTTATGAAAATGAGGTTCACTTCACATAGTCCCAAATAAGGAGTCATTCCCTTACCTTCTGGAAGTTGTAAGGCAGCATCTTGACTCTTCTTCACCATCACCTTCCCCTAAACTGCTACGGCTTCCAACAGCCCATGCCCAACTCTGTCAGCCCACCATCAGGCCTTCAGAGTGCTGTTTGAAATATTTCCCTGCGGTGTGTTTCCCAGATCATTCAACCAGTGAGAACCGGGAACTACCCACGCAGGGCTCTAGAAATACAGCAGTGCTTCGGCCCTCAAGTAACTCACAGAAGGAGGCCGAACCAAATAACCACACTACAAAGTTAACTAAATTCTGTTTTACAATAATCAAAGATGTGGGGATGAGTATTGGAACCACCCACCCAGCTCATTTGTCCCCTTAGGGAAACATTGACACTTCAGAGCTCCAGCTAGCCCCCTCTTCTCTCCTCCTTGTCCCCAGGCAAAACAGGAACTAGAAACCCCAGCTTCCTCTCATAGAATGGCTGTGCCTGGAGTAGACGGAAATGGCTGCTGTGGCTGCCCCCCCACCCCAAGTGTCAAGACTTGAGTCACTTAGGCTTCAATTGCCACGTGCACCCTCCCCCATCCTCATTTCTGAGATTTCCCAATCCCTCTTTTTTCTTTCTGGCATACCCTCTTCCCCTCTTCCCCTGTAGTTCCAAACGTGCACCTGAGGCCCCTAGGGGATGCATACCCACTGCTCTGCCTGGGGCAAAAACTGCTCTGGACCTGTGGGAGGTGGGCAGGGCCTAGGTTAGTCCTACATCTGGGAGGGACGGGGAAGAGGAAGTATCTTAGGTACTGGGGAAGACCGGCTGGTCTTGGTGGGTAGGGAGGGGCATTAGCAGCTTTCTGGACACACCGAGACAGACAGAATGGACTTCCTCCGGCAACACCTCCCTGGGCTGCACCAAGCCTTAAGGGGGGCACTGGTGAGAGAGGCAGAGATGCCAGAGACTTCCAGCCCCCATTCTTTGTGACCTCCTCTTTTCTGCTTTGAGCCTCCTCAGATTCCTTTCTCAGGACCAGGCAGCCTCCTACCCCAGGCCTTGCCTGGTTTCAATCCTCCAGCCCCACAAATGCACTCCTGCACTCCCAATCTAGGTCTTTGTAGTCCCTCTGGAGATCCTGTTCTCCCTCTCCTCCCAGATCCCAGGGCCTTCCTCTTTATCTAGGGCTGCTCTGGCCCAGGGCCCCAGGGAAACAGTGCGGCCTATCCCGAATGCCTCCCCCAAATGCCTTTGCCCATCTCCTTTTTCTTCTAGGACTCTCTCAGCACCTTTGTCTCCTACCTCATGGGAGATGCGGTCCCCACTGTAGAGAGGGAGGTGCAGGCTGCTGAGGAACTGGGGGAGGTGGCTGCAGGAAAGTCAGAGAAGAATGAAGCCCAGGAGGCCCTGCAAAGCCTTAGAGATGGCCAAAGCGAGGGGGTTGGAGCACTGCGAGGGCCTGGAGAGGCTGGAGGATGCCAGGAGCAGAGCTCAGCTGCAGAATGGGTCTGGGGGTGGGGAGAAGGTAGCTCTTGCAGGTCCCAAGCAGGTAGGCAGGACTCTGGGGCCTGGGGGTCAGTCACAGCAGCCAGGGGCCCAGAGCCAACTGCTCTCTTAAAGGCTGAGGAGACATCTGAGGCAGGGTCTGGAACTCACAGAGACAGGGTCAGTCAAACCAAGGAGAGACCAGAGTCTGAAGAGCAGGAAGTGAACAAAGCGGACACACTGACAACGTGGGAACAGGAGGAGGAGGAGGAAGAGGAGGGAGAGGTCAGAGCAAGAGCGCCAGGGATGGCCAGAAGGGTGGAGTCCGACCAGCCCTGGCATGGGGAGCCCAAGGGGAAGGCTGGTGCCAAGAGGGAGAAGGTAGCCAGGGACAGGGTGGAGTCACGGCCAGTGGTCAGGGAGGCAGTTGCAGAAACTGAAGCATCTGGGGCCACAGAGCCTCAGAGGGAAGAAGGGGAGGTGGCAGGAGTGAGGGCTGGCCAAAGCACGAGGGTCCAAGGGACACAGGGCCCAGGGGCACAGTCTGAGGATTGGACAACCTCAACCAGGGCGGAGGCTCACCTTCCAGGAGTCAGGGAGACTGCAGATGGGCTAGTCCCAGGAGACAGATGCCCAGAAGCTTCTAGTAGTATCAGGATCCTAGAGGAGGCCTCCAACAGAGACCAGGAAGAGGAGCCAGAGAAGAGAGTGGATAAAGTGAAAGTTTTCCCCAAACAGCCCTGGGCCCTGGTTAGTGAAGCAACAGAAGAGGCAGCTGAGGGCCAGAAGACAAGGAGGGAGGCTGCAGGAGCCCAGGAGCCAGAGGAGGAAGCAGGACAACGCTTTGAGGGCAAGACAGATCTGTACAGGAGCGAGGCCCAGGGCAGGCAAAACTCGGAGGTCAGGGCTGATGGTGCCAGTCTGTTGGAGGAGGTCCCGGGAGGACAGCCCTGGGAGGAAAAAGGGAGTTGCCGGGCCCCAGAGTCTGAGCTGGCCCCACACAAGGAGGCTGAAGGTGAGGCAAACTCCGAAGCAGCCCTGGAGGCCAGGCCTGAGGAGGAGTTCATGTGGGAGAGAGGCCAGGAGGACCAGACAAGCCAAGGAGCCCTGGGGGTGGAGTGGGGTGCCCTCAGACACAGGGTCACTGGAGACCAGGGGCCCGAGTCGGTTGGAGATGCCCAGACACCAGCAGAGCCCCCTAAAGAAGTGCAGGAGGTGCAGGTGGCACACAGACAAGGCCCAGCCCTGAGCAAAGAGGAGACAGAAAGTGAGAAGGAGCAGCCCAGACATGTGGGGTCTCTGCCTCCTGAGCTCTTTGAGGCAGAAGACTGGGAACTCTGGTGGGGCAGGGACATGGAGAGCAAAATCACCCAGGAGGAAACCGCACATGCTGAAGAGGGAGACAAGGAGGCTGCAGGAGGCCAGGCCCTGGAGGCTGAGGCCAAGGGAGGCTGGGAGTCTGAGCTGCCAGAGATCCCAGAGTGGGGAAGGGAGAAGAGAGAGACCTCTTCAGAGGAGAACCAGGAGTTGCAGGGATACCAAGGTGCAGAGGCAGGGACAGGCCAGGCACTGGGAGAGCCAGAGGCCAGAGAAACCAGGGACCGCATGGTGGACGTCACTGAGCCAGGGGAGGCCGCCAGAATTCCCAGGGAAGGCTGGAGCCTGCGGGAGGTGGCTCTGAGCCTCCAGAACACCGAGGACACTCAGACCAGTCCTCTGCCTGCTGAGATGGAGGGGAGACAGGCAGGGGGAGCGCCTAGGCATGGCAGGGCCTTTGAGGAGGGAGAGGAGACTGGGGTAGGAGTGGGGCAGCCAGAGGCTATGCTGTTGGAAGAGACAGGCAAGTGGCATGTGAGTGATCAGAGGGGACACGGTGAGAGGCAGTGCCACCCTGAGGGAGAGGTGCAAAGGCCGCTAGGTGTGGACGGTGCCAAGGTGACTGAAGGCCAGAGGACGGAGGCCGAGAGGGCTGCACCAGAAGACCTGGAGGCTGTCCAGGGCCAGGAGGGGCAACCAGTGCACCAGCCCCCTGTGGAGACTGCAGAGGCCATGGGGACTGACGGAGGGGACACTCACAGCAGCTGGAGTGAGGTGAGGGCCCTGCTGTGGACCAAGGAGGGACAGCAGGATCTGGAGGCCAGCTCCACAGTGCCACACCTCCTCCCTGCAGGTCCTGCTCCCTGGGTCCCGCCTGGACGTCTCTGTCTCACGTAGCCGTGCGCTCCTGACCCGGAACTCCTCAAAGCGTCGTTCCCGGCCCTCTTTCTGGAGGACATCTGCCTCTGAGCAGCAGGACCCTCCCAGCCCCCAGCCTGAGGAGGAGCTGTCCACCCCCGAGCAGAGCCCTCTTCAGCTAGAGGATGCCCCTGAGCCAAGTCCCTCGCAGTCTGGAGGGACCCCAGAGCAGGCCGGGAGAAAGCTGCTGGGACATGGGTAGGCACTGGGCCCGGACTCTGATGGCAGAGGAGGAGGAGGAGGAGGAGGAGGAGGAAGAGATGGCAGTAGTGATGAGTTGAGTTAAAAGAAAAGAAAGGGGAGGAGAAAACCTCAGTGGAGGTTAGGGTGGTGGCAAGGAGAGAGTCGTGCAGACTCTATTCCTATCCCTGTTCAGTTTCTTCGCATCTTAGAGGAGCTCTGTGTTCCTATAATCTGCATGACACCATATCCACTAGATACGGGGAAATGGCCAAATAGCAAATGTTAGACACTTTCAAAAAACAATGGTAAATTATATTTTTAAAAATATTTTTATAAATACAAATTAAATTACCTGCAGGTTTGGCCTTGCACACCCTGGCATGATGCAGGAGTTGCAAGCCCGGCTGAGCCAGAGGAAGCCCCAGTGACTAAGAGCTGCTGCCTCTCCGGAGTCTGCCCCATGTTGGGTTGGAGGCCCTGGGGCCCTGCCTGACCTAGCTGTCTGCCACCTGCATCCTTCACACCATCTGGGCCTCACTTCCTGGGGTCTTGTCTGTAGAGTGGACAGGACCAGACATCCATGAAGGCCTTGGACTCCAGAAATCTGATTCTCCAGTGCAGGCCGGTGGGCCGTAAGCCACTGGGACCTCTTCTCGAAGGCCCCTCCCTGGTCACCTCCTCAACCTATCCCAGCTCCTCAGGAGACAGCACAGAAGCTTGAGGGAACAGAGTCTGTTCTGGAGTCTTTTCTCTCCTAGCCCCACCCCAGGCCTGAGTCCCCCGGAGAGCTGTGTGGGGTGACTTAGCTGTGGGTGGAAGGGAAGGCTCACAGGCCTTGGGCGCCGCATGGAATCAGGGGTCGATGTGAAGGCCAGCTGCCTTGGGTTTCCAAAATGATAGCTCAGCCCGGAATTCTGCTGGTTACTATGGAAACTGTGCTGGCCAGTCGGGGAAGGTGGACTGGAAGCCTGGAGTATGTAGGAGCAGTGAGCCACTCCAGGTGGCCAGAGGCCACCAACACCACTGTAGCCACCCTGCTTCTTGGATGTCAGGCACCCCTTCTGTGACAAGATGCTGAACAGATAGGGTGAGATGGCTTTATTAGGCACCCAGCATGGTGGCCCAGCCTGAGGATGAAACAATAAATAAATCATCTCCTAAATAATAAATATCCAAGAAATAAATATCTGGCATGGACTGAAGGGTCTTTAAATTATTGGGTAGGGGCTGGGGCTAGTGGCTGATAGAATTTTTTCCTGGTCTAAGGCAGACGGGCTGGAGGCTGCCCTCTTGGCCAGGACCCCAGTCCCGAAATGCTGGAGGGGTAGGGAAGGGGACCAACAGGCCACTCCCTCAGGCGGGGGAGCCAGGCCCTGGTGCCCCGCCTTGGACAGCAGCAGGAAGTCCCTCACAGCCCGAGACAAGATGAGCTCCAGGGAGTGCAGCAGCTGATAGGTGTAGAGCAGCTGGGGCCAGGACACCTGCACTCCTGGGAGCAGCTGGGTCCCCTCCTCCTCCTCCTCCTCCTCCTCCTCCTCCTCTTCCTCTTCTTCCTCCTCCTCCGGGAGGTTGACGCCTGCAGCCAGCCCCTGTGAGGAGAGACTCAGATCAGGCAGTAGCCAGGAACCAAGTGGAGCGACTCTTCCCTGTAACCAAAGGCCGTGTCACTGGACAGCCCCTGCTTCAGGTCCCCATGATGTCTTTGTCTCTCTACCTCACCTGGCTTCTGGGCTCAGAAGATTGTAGCTGTGTAGCAAGGTGGTGCCCACAGAGCTGGCTATTCCCCAGAACTGCCTGGGGCCGGGAAGTCCCTCTCTGCTCTTAGGGATGAGCTCAGGGTCAGAAGTGGGGAGAGGAGGGATGGAGCCAATTTCCATATCACTTGCATTTTCTATTCTCCTTTTTTAAAAAGTTTATCTTGTCCTTTGAAATGTTCAGGAGAATCTGGGTGATGTCGGAGGGAGGGAGAGGAGGGGACCCACCTAGCTGTAGACCCTGCTGCTGCCAGAGGCTGTCCCGGCACTTTAGGACTCTTACCACACTGAAGATGAACCCTGAGAGTAGGCAAAGACTTGGGATGCAGAGCCAGGGCCTGATGCAACTGCACACACACACACACACACACACTCATGAGATCTAAGGTTTCCTCCCAAATGTAACTCGTGGGTGAGCTTTGAAGGGGGCCAGAGTGCAGTCTGCGTCTCTACCGTGCTGGGGCTCACCTGGAAGCGGAGATGGCGCTGCAGATCCCGCAGATCCAGCCTCATCACCTGCAGCTGCATCCTCTCCGAGCTGTTCCAGAGCCTTTGGCTCCCCAGCCTCCTCAGCGGGGCGCGGAAGGGCCGAAGCGTTACGGAGAGGAAGCAGAGTCGCTCTGGGTCCTGTGGATGGGGAAGGGAAGGATCAGGAAAGACCCCTAGGCCAAGGGTGACCCTGTGAGACCCACTGCATCGCCATGCTCTTTTCTGTCCTGTGCTGTTACTCCCAAGCCCATCTCGGCCCTCCGCGCTCGCCGCTCTTCCCACCTCCTCTTCAGCACCACAGCACACAGCTCTTCCCCATTCCCTCCGCTGCCATCCTGTCTCCTGTGCCGTCATCTCTGGCCCTTTTTTATTTTGTATTCTGAGTCAGGGTCTCGATGAGTCACCAAATTGCCCAGGCTGGGATCAAACTTTCTATCCTCCTGTGCCAGCCTCCCGGAGTGCTGGATTACACGTGTGCACAACACCATGCCCACTCTCTCTCTGCAGTTCAAGCAGCTCTTGAACTCACTGTGTAGCCCAAGCTGGTCTCTAACTTGGGAAGATCCTCATGCCTCAGCCCCAGTGCTGCGTGCGCCGCCTCCACCCCCGTTGCTGTTACCAGTTTCATTCCTTATCTGTGTCCATCTCTATTCCCACTCCTATCCCTTCCCAGCCCCACCTCATTCAGCCCAGCTCCTCTTGCCTGCTTCCTAGACCCGTTCCCCAGTCCCAGCTTCGCCCTTATATCCAAGCATCACCAGCCTCACTATGACACTGTCCCGAACCTCCCTCCCATCTGGTGCCCCAGCCTCCCTGCAGAGTCTCCCCTCACTCACGCGGAGGTGGCGCCAGGCCTGGAAGGTCAGGGACGCATTGGGGAGCTGCTGTGGCTGGGGCAGGAGGTCCAGGCTCACTCCGGACAGGTGTGATTCCACCTGAGGGGCAAGGTAGGTTAGCAGGGTGGGGACAGCTGGGCCTGGGCCTCCCCAGCCCAGAGCCAGCTACCCGGGAAACTCACAAAGCGGTGGGCCTGGCCCTGAACCCCCGTGAGCAGCTTCCTGGCGAGTTGCAGGCTGACAGCGAATTCCGCGCGCAGCTCCCTCTCCCGCAGTGTTGGCCTCCCTGGTGGCCTTGGGAATCCCCAGACACCGGCTTGCACCAGGAGCATGGAGAGCGGCAGCAGGCTAAGCCCTGGAAAGACAGGAGTGGGACAAGAGGAGAGCTTGAAGCTGGACATGATGGTGCACGCCCGTAACCCCGCACTTGGGAGGCTGAGGCAGTAGGATTGCTGAGTTTGAGGCCAGCCTGGGCTACATAGTGAGTTGAAGGGCCAGCGTGGAGTAGTAAAAAAAAAATTTTTTTGTTTTTTTGGTACCAGGGACCGAACTCAGGTCCTTGTGCTTGCAAGGCAGGCGGCGGCACCCATGAGCTAAATCTCCAGCCCTGGAATAGTAAGATTTTTGTCTTGAAAAAGTAAAAGAGGGCCAGGGATTTAGCTCAGTGGTTCTGCCACTTGCCTTGCAAGCTCAAGGATCCAAGTTCGATCCCTGGTACCAGAAAAGAAAAAGAAAAGAAAGAAAACCAAAGAAAGAAAGAAAATGAACAAGAGAATGGTTTGAGAATTCCGGAGAGGGAAGGGGACAGGCCTCTCCCAAGCCTGGGTAGGGGTGAGCTTTGCACAGTCACTTCCATGAACATCCTTGGAGCCCCTTAACAACCGCGCCAGGACCCTCTGGACAAAGTGTCCACTTTTGCACGCATATCCCAGGCTGGCTCCTGATTCCCACTCACTCAGTTGACTAAGAGCCTTTCAGTAGACAGCCGAACAATGGCCTGTGGCTACCTCTTCACTTTGCAGAGGAAAGTGAGGCTCTGTGAAGCTGCCTGACTGAACGTCAGACGCCCAGCTCTGCTGAGGGCAGGGGACCTGAGCCCTCCCCAGGAAGCTCGGAGCTGGCCACCGCCTGCCCCAAGGGTGGGGACACTGTTCCACCAAGGGTTCCTTGGCTCAGCCAGATGCCTCAAAGCAGCCACTCAAACCCAGGGGGGCTGGTGGCCAGGCCAGGCCTTCTGGAAGGTGGGTGCAGCACATGGTGCGGGGGTCTCTGGGCCACATCTGCTTCATTGGCAGAGGGGAGGAAGCCCTGGGCGCTAGGCACTGCCCCATGCCTCACCTCTGTGCCTCTTACATCTGCAGAGCAGGCCCTGTCTATACAACAGGGGGTACTGGGCGTGGTGGCTTATGTCTGTGATCCCAGCACTTGGGAGGCTGAGGCAGGAGGGTCACTGTGAGTTTGAGACCAGTCTGGACTATGTAGTGAGTTCCAGGTCAGTCTCAGCCACATAGTGAGACCCTGTCTCAAACACACACACACACACACACACAAACACACAGGGGTTCAAGGACTGGGGATTTAGTTCAGTGGTTCTGGTGCCTGCCTTACAAGCGCAAGGTCCCAAGTTTGAATTCCAGTGCCAAAAAACAAAACAAAATAAAATACACTGTAGGTAGATACTTAGAAACTCCTACAGAACTGTAAGTAATTTGATAGATAAATGTCAAACACAAATGTAATTAAAACTGTACCCGTGAAAAGACTGTTCAGCTGGAGATTTAGCTGGAGATTAGCTGCTACCTGCCTTGAAAAGCGCAAGGTTTAGCTTTCCATCCCTGGTAACAAAAAAATATACCCCCCCAAAAAAGAAAAGACTGTTCAAACTTAATGATATTAGGATAAAATATCATGCCTGATGTGGAGGGTGCAGCAGCCTGCTTTCCCAGAAAGAGGAGAGGGGCTGTGGGGTGATGGCTCCCCGAAACGGGCAGTGTTCAGTGGTTTCTTCCTAGGGGTGAGGAAATCTAGCAATCCTGGAAGTTTCTCTATTCTTCTTGAAACTGAGCCCAAACTGACTCCCTGCCTTGGCTGCTCTACCGGCCCTTCCCTGTCCCCCCAAGGTCTCTGACCCCGGGGCTCTACCCTTTAAAGTGGCCCTGAACAGAGATTGGGGGGCTTCGGGAATAGCCAGTGTCCCCTAGGATTTCCAGAGGGAGTGGACAACACCCGAGATCTCGTGGGTGCCGGCTGTGTGGCACCCCAAAGACAATGCTGACTAGGGTTCTCCTCGCTGGATGTTGGGGGCAGGGTTGGCACTCCAGGCCCCCAGAGGCGGTGGTGCTGTCTCCTCCCCATCCCTCTCTCCTGCCTGTGCTCTGCAGGCCCAGGTCCTCGCTGCCCTCTGAAGCCAATATCAGTTTCTGGAGGTCTCCTCAGCATCCTTCAGCCCTTGACCCTGCCCAGCCTTCACCTCCTCCTCTGCCCAGCACTGGGTCTGGCGCTGAGTTTGTCAGACACCAGCTGCAGCATGGATTCGTTCCAGACTCCAAACTAAAGCCCTTGACCTGGGCAGGGGCTGGCTCCTTGGCCTCTCTTGGCCAGTCCTCCCACTGCTCCTCCTCTAGGGGACCTCTGCCTCAGCCCCGGCGCAGCCGGTCCACACTCCTGGCTCTGATCCCTTCACTGCTCTGCCTCCTCCCGCTCCCCCTCAGGTCTACATCCAGCCCTCCCCTCCATGCAGCCCCCACCCAGCCTTGGGCCGGCAGCCGGAGCCCCAGTCCCTCAAACTGCTCTCATTTCCACCCTCCAGCCTGCCCAGCCTTCCCTGTGGCCAAACTGTTTCTCTCAGCCACAGCAGGGAGCTTTCCCACCCTCCGCCCCGGCCCCTCTGACTCACGCCAACCAAGGTCGCCTTCTGTGAAGCCCATGTCAGGGCCCGGCCTCTTTGCGCAGCCATCTCCTGGTAGGGGAGTCTTATACTGGGGGCTGCACCGGTTTCACTTTCCTTCCTACTTGTACTTTCAGCTTTGCATTCAATCAGTCTTCCTTCTTGCTAAAATGGGGAAATGTAATTTCCCTTCCCAGAGTGGGGAAGGCAGGAGGGGTAGCGGGAAGCTGGGGCTTTGGCCATCCTGAGCTCCTGACTGGCTGCTCCCACCCGCCCCCCACAGACACACCTGCCTCCCTCAGCTCCTGCCTGGGGGAAGCCTGCAGGGCCCCCGGGGGGCCCCCAGATGCACAGACCCCTGCCTCTTTCTGCCTGGCCACCATGGATCCTTCAAGAGCATCACCCATCCGCTGTCCTTTGAAAGATGGTGGCCAGGTAAGGGGATTGCCCAGCAGAGGGGACTTAGGGTTTGAGTCATCCTCACTCTTCTGGTTTACCAGATGCCGGGCAGGGGCGTGGTGAGGGAGGCAGGGCTTGGGGGCCCAAGAGGTACCACAGCTGACAGTGGACCTTTCCACAGCAGGGTGAGGGTGGGTGAGACCAGGCCCACGGCTCCACCCAGGTCCAACGGGTGCAGGACATAGGGCAGGTCTCAGTCTAAATCGGGGTCAGGGCTTCGTGTATGGCTGGACCCAGAGCCTAATCTGGAGCCAACAGCCCCACTGTGGGGACAGATCTGTCGGTGACCTGGGCCTCTGCCTGTGGGTGGCCGGGATGGGCTGAGAGCCTGGTTAGTCTGTCTGTGACCAAGGCTCCAACTGAGGCTGTGATCAGGTGAGGACTCAGGCTGGGCTGGGACAAGAGCCCAGTCACTGGTCAGCATCAGGGCTCAGCCTGCAGCCCAGCTGGGGCTCCGAGGTTAGGATCTGGTCTCGCCAAGACCCATAGCAGCCCCCAGGCTCTGGCTCTGAGGAGCTCACTGCAGGGCAGGGCACACCAGTCCTCCCTTCCAGCTCAGCCCACTCTTGGCCACACCCTGGATTTCCCATCTTCAGGGAGAGGATGGGAGTTTCTCAGTCTTCCCCAAGGCTTCCTGCTGCCGCTTTCCTTTTGGGACTTGCGGGGTTTCCCTGCTTGGTCCCTGCTATGAGACAGAAACCAAGGGGGCTTCCCCTTCCCACACGCTGCTCCTCAGCCCTGCCGGGGCACTGCCAGCTGGGGACGGAGTGCCAGGGAAGATTCAGGCCTCCCTGGAGTGGTCAGAGGGCTGTGGAGGAGAAGGGGAGGTGAGTGCGGTTGCAGCGTCCCAGGGCTGCCAGCTTTCTTTTGCAAGCATCCCTGTGCCAGCTGCTCACCTCTCCACTTCCCGCTCAGCTGGGGCTCTCCACTGAGGGGGGTCCCTTATATCCCAAGACTAGTGATGAGGACAGGCCAAGGCCTGGATGCTCTTTCATGCATCTCCACGCCCTGCTGACCCTCTTAGAGGTGTGGCCACCCCACTCACCCCTGACCACAGCCTTCCCTTCTGCTCTCTCCCCAGCCCTGCCCCTGCCATCACCCACAACCGTGCCCTTCTCCACTCCTGAACCCACTCTCGCTGCCTGACCACAGCCCCTGGCGCTCTCAGCCTTCTCCTAGGGCTCCCCAGACCCCCCACCCTCTTGCCTCCCCTGCCCTTCCAGGGCTACAGCTGATCCTTCCAGCTTCCCTTGTACCAGCTGCTGCAGCCTTGTGCTCGCAAGTGCACGTGGAGGCCACCTCACGCTTCTGTGCCTTATGAAGCCGTGCAGTCTGCCAGAAAACCCCCCACCTCCTGAGGCTTCCCTCTCTCCAGCCTGCCCTGAATCCATATCCTCATGGAGGGCTTTGCTTTTAGTGGTGTGTTCCTTCCTGCCATAAACCTTGACTCAAATGGACATTTCACATTTTTATATCTTGCTCACTCTCACCCGATTCACACTGATCCCTGCACACTGGCTTCCTGTTCCTCCTAGACAAGCTCACTAGTGCCTTAGGGCACTTGCTTAGTTCTTTCTATTTTGTTTTGTTTTGTTTTTTGTTATAGTTGAGACTGACCTGGAACTCACTGTGTAGCCCAGGCTGTTCTCGAACTCATAGCGATCCTCCTGCCTCAGCCTCCCGAGTGCTGGGATTACAGGTGTGTGCCACCACGCCTGGCTTTGCTTCCTTCTTTCTAAAATACTCTTAGATTTCATGAACAAAACCCAGACTGCAGGAGAAATACTACAAAGAATCAACAACTGGGAGCTCATCTTATTAAAAAGCTTTTGCACAGCAAAAGAAACCACCAAGTGAAGAGACAACTCACAGAGTAGGAAAAAAAAATTTTTTTTTTTTTTGGTACTGGGGATTGAGCTCAGGACCTCGTACTTGCTAGGTAGGCACTATGCCATTGAGCTAAATCCCCAGCCTAGGAAAACATATTTTACCAGCTATTCAGATAAAAGACTATTAACTAGGGCCAGGGATTTAGCTTAGTGGTTCTGGTTCCACTGCCTGCCTCGCAAGCACAAGGACCCGAGTTGGATCCCCAGTACCAAAAGAAGAAGAAGAAGAAAAAAAAACTATTATCTAGAATATATAAAGAACTAAAGGGCCAGGGATTTAGCTCAGTGGTTCTGCCACCTGCCTTGCCAGTGGAAGGACACAAGTTCAATCTCCGATACCAAAAAAAAAAAAAAAAAAAAAAAAAAAAAAAAAAAAAAAAGAACTAAAAAAATCAGACCTCCCAAATTTAAAGACTCAACCCAAATATGGGCATCTGAAATGAAATACACTTCTCAGATAAAGAATTAGAAATGGCAAATAAATAAATGAAAAAATGTTCCATATCACTGGTCATTCGAGAGATGCAAATTAAAACAACTCTGAGAGCCAGGCGTGGTGGTGCATGCCTGTAAGCCCAGCACTCAGGAGGCTGAGGTAGGATTGCTGAGTTGGAGACCAGCCTGGGCTACATAGTGAGTTCCAGCTCAGTCTAAACTACATAGTGAGACCCTGTCTCAACAAAACAAAACAAAACAAAAAACACTCTTTGAGATGCCTGCAAAGTTTACTCTTTCCTCAAGATCTCGACTCCAATGTCATCTTCACTGACCACTCACTCAGTCTAAGGAGAAATGCAGCCCTGCCCCGGCTCCTTCTAACCCCTCCCTGCACTATTTTTCCACTGAGAATACCTAAAATACTTTGTCTGCCTCCATGCATTGCAACACAGGTTCCACGAAGGAGAGAATTTTGCCCAATGCGTCTCCAGAAGCCAACAATCAAGGCTTCTTGATGAATTGCTGGTGAACAAATCAGTCTTCTGCTACCAGGGCCTGCCCCAGGTTCTGCTCAGTGACTGGAAGGGCTGCGCAACCCCGGGGGTCACTGTCAGCCTTCTGATGCTGCCCAGGGCCCAGCCATACGAAGGGGCCCCTGGCTGCCAGGCTTGGCCTTGTGATGGGAACCAAAGGGCCCCACGGGTGGTGCCAGCCTCTGACCACATGCCCAGACCCGCCTCAGTCTCCACAAGTAGTCTCAGGGACAGGGGCTGTGGTTTGGGTAGGAGCTGGCGGAAATGGAAGGGATGTGGTGAGGGTGAGAATGAGTAGAAAGGAAACCAGAGTGCCTGGGCTGTAGACTCCAGAGAGCGGCCAGTCCTGCTGGCAGGCTCAGGTGAGTCACCGGCTGGTTCTGGAATTTAGTTCCTTAGTGAAACATGACTGATTTTTAAGGGCTGCCACAACTATTACATGGGGAAATTAAAACCAGGGCATTTAAAATTTGAAGAAAAACAAGTTTCTAGTTTTCTTTTTCTTTTGTGGTACTGGGATCGAACTCAGGACCTTTGCAATGAGCTACAGACCCATCCCCCAGCCCTTAAATTCTTATTTTGAGACAGGATTTTGCTAAATTGTCCGAGGTGGCCTTGACCTCGTGATTCTCCCTCCTCTGGATGACAGGCAGGCATCACCATGCCTGGTTAACCTTCGGGTTCTTCTCGGAGCCCACCAGGGCACTGCAGGGGTTGGGCGGAAATCCCAACCTGGAGACCTTGAGGGCAGCAGTCAGTTGCTTCAGATGTGACTTCGGGATGCTCCAGGGAGGGGAGCTCTTGCTCAGAGGCACACAACAGGTCCACGGCACATGAGGACGTCTCCAGCTGGGGCTGTCAGCACCATGACTTGGACCTCAGCCCTTGGTGAAGCCAAGATGGCTTCGGTGAAGACAGGAAGGTAGCCACGGAGGCTAAGCAGCTCCTTCCCCAGGTCAGGGGAGCTGAGCAAGTCCTCAGCCCCTCCCTCGATACCCACACACCTTCTACCACCATTCCACACTGGGTAGGCACAGTGTCTGCCAGCTTACCCCTCTCTCTCCCTCCCAGAGCTGGAAGTAGAAGCTGGGGTCTCGGGCGGGTGCTGCACCACTAAGCCACAGCCTGGCCTGGCCAGGCACCGGGCTAATAGCGATGGCAAGGGGCGGGGGCGTCAGCCTCTCCTGTTCACTTTGAGGCTGGCATGGGGCCATTGGCCTGGGGGCGAGGGGAAGGGGCTTCCTTCTCCCCTTGCAGCGACACTGTGCATCCGGCACTCTCGGCCATGCAGAGGGCCAGGTAGCCACGGAGGCTAAGCAGCTCCTTCCCCAGGTCAGGGGAGCTGAGCAAGTCCTCAGCTCTCCCTCGATACCCACACATCTTCTACCACCATTCCACACTGGGTAGGCACAGTGTCTGCCAGCTTGCCCCTCTCTCTCCCTCCCAGAGCTGGAAGTAGAACCTGGGGTCTTGGGCGGGTGCTGCACCACTAAGCCACAGCCTGGCCTGGCCAGGCACCTTCCACCTCCGTCCGGGGCTAATAGCGATGGCAAGGGGTGGGGGCATCAGCCTCTCCTGTTCACTTTAAGGCTGGCATGGGGCCATTGGCCTGGGGGCGAGGGGAAGGGGCTTCCTTCTCCCCTTGCAGCGACACTGTGCATCCGGCACTCTCGGCCATGCAGGGCCTGGGAGGGCTGAGAGCAGCGGGTGGGTGTGTCCTCTGTGGGAACACGCAGGAATGCAGGGCTGG